ATTAATTGAAATGTGGTGTTTCTATAAGCAAAGTCAAAACAAAAATTAACGCAATAGTAATTCTTGTTTATTGTGAAAAATAATGCGACTAAATGTATAGATTTTTGTGTCTGAAAATATTTAGTTATCCTTCCACATTTTTCGTTGGATTATCACAGGAACTTTTGATAAAATAAATAGAAGCTCTCAAAAATATACTTTTCAAACGAAGCTCGTCGCAGACACTTCAGAAGTACGATTAGCAAGTAATTTTTGCAGAAATTAATAACCGTAATACATCACAAACTATACTAAAATAATTACGAACAGTCTGTTTAACTTTTAACGAAGTTAATCCAAACTCTGGCGCCCTTGCTTGATAGTTAATCGATATATTCCGCTGCTTTAAATTTTCGTAATTAATCAACTACGGAGTAAGTACTCGTAGACAAAATTTAACCGCAACTGCCACGGTTTGATATTTTAAAAGTAATAGAATCTGTAGCTTCAAGTTTTTCGTATCACTGAGAGAACATGCTTTAAATGATAAAAGAGTAAAATTTCATATATTTCAGTTATTTTATTTCATGAAAATGGAAAAAAAAAAATCTGAACGAAGAGTTATCATGTAGACGGAGACAAAATCATATATACAGGGTGTCCCAGAGCTATCTTGACAGGCATTATCTCGGAAACTAGTCGAGATCGAAAGAAATGTTATATAGAAAAGGTGTTCTGCTTAAAAAGATGCGTTTCATGGTTTTATTTTCAAATATACAGGGTGCCCCAAAAAGATGGTATATTGCGGAACTTCAATTTTTTAAATGGAACACTGTATATTTTTAAGTTCTTGGATTCTCCTTTTATTTCTGAACATATTTGATTGACCATGTTCTATACCTATCATTAACCGTTTACGATATATGAACAGTTTAACCTTGATTCAGACCTTTTCCATGCTCTTCAATAAGTTCTCTGAAAGCAACTGCTCTTTACTTGGCTCTAACCCATTTTGTTTATCGGCATGTCAAAAGTCCAATAATTAATAATAAAAGGTAGTTGAAAATATGATAATTGAATTTTTGATGGTGCGAGACATCGCCTTAAAAAAAATCATTGAAATTGGTCCATTAGAAGCTGAGATAAGTGAAATTTTTCCGAGCGTCGCAGTTTTGTACTCGAGAATTCAGATCGGAGTAGTTTGCTCCCCCCACCAATGATACCTCATTGATTTTACGCGGTCTTGAATATCTTTGAGTGACATTTTAAATGGGACGCCCGTGATTGCAAATTTTGAAAATTTATATCATGAAAGTACTCGGAATGACAAACCTATTGGTTCAAAAACAGCCCTTATACCCTTATAGTTTTGCTGTAAATAAGGGTTAACTTTAACGGGCTATAAGTCAGAAAATAATGGGTTGATCATCAGGTTTTTTTTTTTAAATACTCGACTTTCCGAGTACTTTCAAACAAAATTTTAAAATAAAAAAATTGAAAAATACATTAAATTATTACAATTGTTTATAAGCGTGAATATTGCGAAAATGTTTAAACAATCACCACGGCTCACCTAATCGTCCGATTTGAATTTTTCAAAAAGCATTTTAAAGCCTCAGAGCTCTTCTTTTTGTGGTGAAATTTTCAAGTGTTCAAAGGCTTTAGATTTTTAGAAATTTGATTTTGAAAATTTTTTAATTTAAAAAAAATAAATAATTTATGCAAAAACTATCGAACCTAATTGGATAAAATTTGGTGTGTTGATTTTATACACTGAGAAGTTTAATTGGGAAAAGTATGAAGATACTAGGTATTATTCAAGCGTCTGAAAAAAAAAGACAAATAAACTAGCATTTTTTGCAATTTTTTAAATGATTTTTCCGATTTTTGCAACAACAATAATTATTTTTTCGAATTGCAACTAACTCTATCTTGATCAAAATTTAATTACAAAATTTTTTTCCTCTTCCATTTTTGTCTAAAATGAATCAATATTCTGGCTTTTATAGCAGTCAACCCACATGCGTTTGTTATTACCAAATATCACCTTTGCAACGTATTTTTCTTTTGTAAAAATAGTTTTAAATCATACTTCGTCCACTGAATTTCAGCATTTTCGAATTATAAAGGATTTCCAATTCCGAATGCCATTGTGGATTAAAAGTGGTTAAATCGGAATGATTGTATTTTATCGAAACTGCCTTTTACTACTAACATTGTAATGGCGCTACAGGGCTTAAATTTTAATGCTAGAATTTATAGGGACTCCGCCTATACCTACGGGCAGGATATTTTATTTTTAAATTTAATCTCCCCCTGTTGGGATTTTAAACTGCGTCTATAAATCTGTATATTTTTACGATTGCGGAGATTATAACATATGTTGTTATTTGTTTAGGAGTTACTTTGAATATTGCCGAGGCACAGCGCCACTAAAAAGTAAAATTCTGCTAAAAGACTTAGTCCGGGATGCCGATAAACTTAACACTATTTGCAGCTCTAGGAGCTGCTTTTCGATGCACTAAATACTACACTACTACATCAGTTGTACCATTTAGCGATATCGTTTTTCTATTCTATTAAATACAATTATTTTAATAGTAAAGTAAGATTAGCAAAAGTCTTCTTTAAAATGTATACACCTGCCAATACCTTCCTGTAATAATTAAATAATACATTAACTAATGTTATCTATTTTGAAACTGCTCAGACTTTACTAACACTAAATTTAATCTCAACTATCAACTGTCTATTTAGATAATTACTTTGGGTGTGGTAACATGGTAATGTTCACGTGATGCACTCGCGATAATTGTGAAGCAAATCCAAATCAGAACTGACCGACATGTAGTTCGTTTTGAAACATTGCGGTAAAAGGTATTAAGGGTAGACGGTTTATCCGAAATCGTTAATGTTTCAGTCAATTACTTAAAATCAGAATTCTGGAATTGTCATTAGGTCAGATCAGAATGCAGCAGGTTAAACAAAACAGGACGGAATAGAACGCTTTAGATTCTGCATTTCTGATGAACATTCACATCGATAAATACCAAAAAATCCATTGCTGTATTAATTTCAGAGTTTCTCCTGAAGAAAAGGGCGATATAATCCAAATGAAATCTAAAGAAAATCTTGTACTCAAAGAATTTAAGCTAAGAAAATTTTAAAATTGTTTCTGATACCAAAAAACCCTAAACAGTTACAAGAATTGAATTTCAACATAACATCGTTGTTCTTTTATTACGTTATTCTATTTTTCTAACTGCAATCTTGTGTTTCCGTACAAACCATGACGGAAATTGGACACAGTGCAACCACTAAATCCACACATTTCTATATACGAGTGTAATAAATCCACTGTGGGCTATACACGTCCTCATACGTTATGCTAAATAATAAATCATACCAAAATCAACTGTTGCTCCTGCTATCTATTCCGCAGACGTGTAATGTAACGTTTTAATCACCTTTCCCATCTGACATGGGCTGTACCAAGTCTACACTATAAATAACCCCATTTAGTTTTGCATCGCTAGAGGTGGTGAATATATGGCGGGGTCAGCGACATGTCTTGGCAGGGAGTGATGGTAAAAAAAGAAAAGGACGCAGAGGAGCTCAGCGAACATTTTGCATCCGATAATTCAGAATTGAGAGGTTTCCTTGAATAGCAACAAAATTTGAGCGTAGCTGATGATGCATTGAAACTTAAAGATATAATACCCTTTTGTCTCAAAGTGTTTCACTCATACAAAAAACAAAAATGTCGCAAAAAAATGTTACAGGGTGTTAAAGTTTCTCTTTTTATTTCTTTTCTTCTTGGCTCAGAACCCAGTTAGCAAAATTTGCTGTTTCTTAGTTTCTCTTCATGAAGTATGCAGTGATTATGGTCCTATTAGGTCAAGAGCGTTCATTTTACTACAACCGTTTGTGAATATTTTTCTGTAACTTTTTTGTACGTTTAAATTTTTACAGGCAACTATCAGAAGTAGGTAGAGAATTTTATTCTACACGAAACAATGTATACCTATCAAAAGTCGAAATTATGTTCGGTTATGAAAAAGTAAATTTTATCTGGGCTCCCTAGATGTGGCAAATATATGTGTATTAAAAGCAAAAATAAAGCAACAGGACGTCGTGGAGAATATAGCGTATTAAATTTACTTTAGAACTCGTGAGTGCTATGTAATTTTACGGATACTTATTAACTTATAATAATAATTACGAAACTTAATAAAAGCGTTAATAAAACAGCTAATATAACACTTTTATATTAATTTCGAGAAGTTTTAAACTCGTTTTAGGAAAGGAGTACTTAGCGTTAAATTCTGCTCCTTCTCACAGCTTAGAAATTACCAACTTCGAGTTTTTGCGATTCAATTTAATTATGTAGATATTACGCAAGAGTAGAGCATTAAGGGAATGGCGGATGTAAAATATTGTAGGAACTTTTCTTATTTGAAGGTTTGTTAAGATTCGCCTACAGAATTTCAGTTATTAATGCTAAACGAGGTTAAATGAACTAAAGCAGATACGGCTTTGCCGCATAATGAAATTTATTATTATGCACATAATAATTATTCCTGTGGGCCGTTCCGTTTAAGGTCTTTATGCTTTACTTCAACGTTTATTTTTACGTTTATGATAAAGGTTGTTTAATTAATTACCCCTTTTATTATCCCAACGCGGATAGTGGTTTTCTAGACTCTAGACGCAAAATTACATGAAACATATGATTTATTCACATAAGAAAATTTCTGCTAGAATTTTATTACCATAAAGTTGCATAGTAATGTTAAAAGCATCTCACACTTATTTAAAAATATACATGTTTTCGGCTACACACATTTTATCACCCTGTATATGTTTTGGTAAGCATTCGGGCATGTATTCGTAGAAAACTTTTTAATTATAATGATATTTTCGATATTATTTTCCAATTTGGCTACATATTTCTGAATCATACTGATGACTAACAAAAGACATTCCACAATAAAACAAAAACAAAATTAACTTACGCTTACCGCGATTCTTAGCGCCCCTCTCGCTTCTAATAAGCACCTCGTGATCGTCCTCCTCCCAAACTTCTCCATCAGCCACTGCCAAACTAATCACTACGATGGCCAACACACATAGCGCTAACCACTTCATCTGAAACAAAAGTCTTAAGTTCTTATTTCGTTCCATAAATAATCGTTAGTGTGAGTGAGGGAAATACAACCCTGTTAACATTAGATCTATCTAACAATAAGTAATGTTATCACGGAAGTGTGTAAGTAACTTGATTTGTGGCACCATTTGTGTAATTAAGTTCATTTAATGCTTATAATGGCATGTCTGTAAGTTGAGAAATATAAGCAGTTGCTCCCAAGATAAGATATCAACGTAATTTTCAATTTCACGATAGTTATTTAACACCTGATGTAAAGGCGATTTAACTAATATATTAGTACGAGTAGAGGTACGGCAAATAAGCAAATAATTAGCTATTAGATCTTGGCACAAAATTTAAACGAGCAACATAGTGAATTATTTTATAGACCATTAATATGGAAAGCTTTTTACGTCTGGAGATAAGACTGTTTAACTCGAAATGTTTGTAAAATATATTATGTGGATAGAATAGGATAGAAACCGTCTAGAATAAATAAAATATCTTCAATGGTTGAATAATTTTACTTCCAGCCTTTGACATGTCATATAACTCTTAGGAATCATTTGAAGAAACATATTACACCAAGTACAGAAGTTTCGTTGGCGTATTTAATTAAGAAGGAAGTGGAAATAATTTTTATTTATTTCAGCAAGTGCCAGACACCATCAAGTAAACCGCGCTGATGGACAATTTAGTAGAGTGCATTAGTAGCAGGTGTTTTAAGAAAATTGATACGCCACTTCGAGTTTTCACCTCAAATTGGTCTAGCAGTTTATCAATTCCACTTTAAATATTTACCTACAGGACAAAAAAATGCTATCTTTCTCATCTAAACAACTTCTTACGAAAGAATTTCCGTGCAGGATATCTGGAGTTTAAAGTTACACAAACCACCAACAGCGAATTACAAATAAACGTACACGTATGTCACCCCGAGCTGGATATCTCCAGACAAATAAGCGACAGTTATCTCGCGTACTGCTTGAAACTCACTCGAATAAAAATAATCCAAATAGAGATAAACTACACCAACTCCACCAACTCTGCTGGAGGGATCAACCGGGTCCGTCAGATATTATAGATGGGAGTCGGTCCCCCAAGGACGCCCGACAGCATTATCTTTATGATAGCCGATCTGATACTACGTCTTGCATGCTCTACCAGTTTACCGTAATAACCTACGGCTTCAGATGCTGCTGTTTGGTTACAAGTTGCATAGTTTTATGTCGAGTTCAGTCATTGTGGAACTATCAAATAATTGTCTACATGCGCTGAGTAGTTACGACGAGAAAATCATGATGATTGCGCACAGATATCGAGACAACAAATGTTATTACAATTTGGATTTAGAATTGAGACTAATCGGACTAGTAAGTAATATGATCTTGTCCTAAAACTTCTGATAAGGCAGATGGATATAGGATAAAGATATAACATCGTGAGCAGTTCATTTGTGCTGTTAATGAGGCCATTATAACGAGTAACAGCAACATCCTGGAGTAACATAGCAACATCCTGGTGTGACTATAATGATGATATCTAGACGAATGTCTAAGGAACAAGACTCACGAATTCATGGCAATATTGGCATGAAAATGCAGCTCTCGGATAACATTGTGTTGTAATCCATTTGGAAGGAAGAAACGATAATACGAAGAAGGGTTTGCGACGGATTAATTTATTAGCTACTGAACAATTGTACAAGCTAGCAATGATTGATGTAAAGCATGTGTATAACATTCCGGAAGGAAGAAATTAGCTGCTTCTACTTCCTCAGCATCATAACGAGCGTTCAAATAAAAACGTGGTCAAGTTGGTTCTGAAAATTTGGACGTAGGGCGTAGCGTATAGCAAATGAACTTAAACGTCATCTGTCAAAGCGCTATATCGCCGCTATCAATTTGAATATTTTCGTTTTAAAAAGCGTTTAAAATGGTGTTTTCTCAAGAACAAAAAGTGTTTATCATAGAGTCCTACTTTAGAAATGGACGCAAGATTGATGGAATATGGAAATATTCTATTGAGGAATGTTTCATAGAATTTCAAAATCAATTTCCCGGCGTTGTTGAGTACAAAATTTTTCAAAGTGCAGTTCAGCGTTGTGTTAATGTTTTTCGTGAAACGGGCAGTGTAACAAGAAAAGAAGGAAGCGGCCGACCTAAAAAGCGGACTGAAGAATTAAAAGAAAATGTCCAAAAAATAATGGAAAATGCGCCAAGAACTTCTGTACGTGTTTTATCACAAATTGTGGGAGTATCAGTCGGTACCTGCCACACAGTGTTAAAAAAAGATTTGCGTTTGTTCTCCTTTAATTGTTTGTTATTGTTATCACGATTATTCTTTAAAATAAAGTTATATAGTCATTAACGTTATTGAAACTGACAGCTGCTATACAGCTCGTTGAGAAATGAGGTTAAGTTGGTCGCTATAAGCTACTCCCTACGTCCAATGTGTCAGAGCCAACTTCGACCACGTTTTTATTTGAACGCTCGTTATAAGGATGAAGATGTTTCCGCAGTCTTAACGTCCATTGGGGTATCTCCTCTGAGGGTTGAATTAACAAAATGATTGTTTGTCGCTCGAAAGAGCATCATGTTTAATAACATTTTAAAACGCCAACAAGAAACAAAATAATTGTGATAGAAAAAAATACAGGTTCCAATGGTACCAAAATAAATGGAATTGAAGGACCACTCGTTTGGGACTTTAAAATATGTTAGATTTGGTTTCAAATCATTTGATTCCATATTAATGGGTAAGTCTCTCTACAAATACGCTAGTCAATTGGTTAGTCTACTGCAGAAAAGACCAGCTACCAAGAGGTTTTGAGTTATTTAATGTCAAAAGTATGGTTTAAATTTCACGCGGTGTGGTTTTGAAGCCACTTTGAGGTTAAACTGTGATTCTTGTACTGTTTTGTGGGCAGTACACTATTTTTATGGAGACCACTGGTCTATGTGACATAGAATGACCATATTATCAAGTGGTGGCGCTGTGGTATTTGACTCTTTTGGGCATATCTCCCTTACCATATGCGATTTTATTGATGTAAGATCTAAATATGTAAATATACAAAGTGTTTCATTAAAAACAAGTTTGCTGCTTAATTTGCCACTTTATCGCTTCGTATGATCTGATTTAAAATGATGACGATTCAGGAAGATTTGAACATATTTTAGATCTCTAAAAATAACAGCTGTGGGTAGGTTGTAAAATATAAGGAAAAATCATACTGATGTTGTTTGCATACAAGGGGTACTTCGGAGGTAGATGGAATAATTCTCGGTCCTTCCTTTCTCTTCCGAGCTTTTCAAATTTGACTCACTACTATGGCTAAATAGATGAACGTAGATATTTTTTTATTCTACGCTTGGCGATCGGTTGTTTGTACAATAATTATGTCTGGAAACCTCGCCAGCAATCAGGCACTTCCCCAAAGTCCAAAAATAAGTTAATGGTCCATCTGACCTCTGATTAAAGCTTCCGGAAGCCCCCGAAGTAATTATGGCGTCTCGAAATGATTAAATTCCGGCAACCGGGCAGCGCACCTGAAATAAACCAAGTCCGCAAACACGGCAGAATGCTCGCGGGACCATAATTTAATTTCGCCGAACCACGGAGCAATTGTTATGCAATCCGCCAGTTCCAGCTTTGCGTCAGTAATTCACTAATAACCGTATCAAGTGTGTGTACGTCCTATGGTAAATGCGGAGGAGGCACCCGACGGCGACGCCTTCAGATCGACGTGGATGGGATCGATACACCTGGTTTACTACGCTCCGCTTCCGTAATTCCTTAATTAAAGGCCGGGACCAACCGTTAATCTGACTTTGAGAGACAGCCTGCAACCATCCGCGATACAAATTAACGTCGCCGGTTGGTAAATCTTCCGTCTCGCACGGGGAATCGTTTAAAAATGGTTACGAGGAGTTACCTAGCGAGAACTTTGCGCTTCAAGTCGGATTTAATTGAAATTGTTCGAAACGGAGCAAATTGCTCAAACCCTGGGGTCGGCAAGTACAGCTTCTCAAAGATTCCAATCCAAAATGTAAGGGAGTATTTTTTACACCCTTATTAAAGCACGATTTTAAAAACGTAAAAAAATAATTGCAAGTTTTGTCACTTTGCTTTTGGTGGTTAAACCCGTCGTCAAAATTGGTGGCACTTATTTCTGGACACCCTGTGTAATAGCATCACTCCTTCACACCATTCAATTTTAAGCTTGCATCGAGTGCAATTGGTTTTAAGAAAAATAAACCATTATAAAAACCTTACCTCATTATACTGCATAATAAAAAATTGACCTATTTACATGGTGCGAATGTAAGCCGTGCTCTTCTTTGTGAAATGCCCAGTTGAGTAGCAATTCTTCGTGGGATAGTGGTTGCATTATCTTCTACTAGACCCAGATTATTTTCTACTTCTTTTAAACCTTGTAGATGCGCTCGTTCAGAGGTTGTACTAGCACTGGGAATCTTTCCGGTTTCTTCAACAGCAGCATTAGCATTCCCATTACAAAAATCATAAACAAACATGCAAACCATATTCGGATACTCTAAATTTGAATAAGTTCTTGGCATTTTGTAACACTTTGATCGTACAAATGTGTAATCAAATGTTAAACTGTAACAACATAAAATGGCACTGACGGAAATTTCTGCTAAAAAGTTTATTTAAACGCCTTGATGGTATGGGACGTTATAATTTGTGATAATATCTGTGACGGAAACTTAAAATTTGGTACAATAGTATACACATAATGAGCTAGATGACGTCAGAATTGTGAGTGTTGCGATTTAACAGACGTTGGTCCATCACTTCAATATTCCAACATTTCCAAGATACATATATGTGATAGAAAAATTTGAAAAGCATCATCTTTTACCCACGCTTTATCAGAAAAGAAAATGATGGAAGTATATCTTACTCGTTTATATATTTACAATGTGATATATGAAGATATATCTGGTAGGGTTTCTTATTCACGTGTGGGATT